ACAATCTTTTCTGTAGTTCTTAATCTCTTAAAGAAGCCCTTCGAAGCAAGTCTGTTCGTCCATAAACGGCATTATAATGCAGACACTAATACCACCTTGAGCAAACTTATTAGAAAGGATTTAATTTTGTTTTTAGAGTGTGGAGATAAGGTCTGTATGGACAACAAAATCCATTAAGCTAACCTACACAACACTTTAAACATGCACCCCTCATATCCAACTAAAAACACAAATGAGACTGCAGAGAAAAGCAGCCCATCTCTTCCAAATAAAACCCAGAAGAATAACCCAATTTCCTACCAATTAAATTCTAGGGTGCTGGGTATATTAATTTCTCCCCAACAAGAAGTCATAAATCAAAACCTAACAGTAAACTATAAAGCATCCTTTGAATAGCAGCAAGTGATCTCAGAGTAGCAATCGTAATTAGTTAATGTTTATGAAGTTGGAGCGCAGTAAATTAGCTTAACAGCTAGTTCATGCTCAATGGTGGTATTGTATTGAATTGATCATATACCTCACTAAGTATTTGGTATGATTTTGTATCAATGCATCCATCACCATCCTCAATCATATGTTTAAGAGTGTCATCACCTTGTCTACACTGACTGTATTTATACAGTAGTTGTTATATAGTTTGCTGGAATGTAAACTGATTCTGTTATGTTTATGTTGTTATACCATTGAACTTTTATTTTATGTGAATTATCATGTGACCAAATAACCAAATAACTTTTGGACTGGTGGATGCTTTCCTGGTTTGAACTGTTGGTTAATGTTCTTATTTGCCCCCCTCCCCCCAACAAATTGAAGGCTACAGTGAGCAGAAAGTTATTTTATTTCCTTGATATTGGCACAAAAATCAAATACAGTGTGCCTGCCTCTATCCAATCCAAATACCACAAAAGCGGCAATGCAGAACCTTTGATGCATACTAATTAACATTGTATATCTCTTTCGTTAAAGGTGGGGTAGGTAAGTTTGAGAAACCGGCTCGAGATCGCTAGAATTTGAAAATACACAACCGGAGAAAATCTCCCACTTCCTTACAGAGCCCCTCCTCCAACACACACGAACGCGCACATGACCAATGAGGGCACGAGATAAGTTTGTGCACAGATGGAAGGCTGACAGGCAGGTAGGCCATCCAGTTATTTTAGCCGGGCCGGCTAAAATGATTGGTCGTGCTTTTTACAGTACTACGGCTTTCACAGATTACATTTTTTAATGGATTTTTTGTCAAAGCACTTAAGATATTCATTGCTATCGGGATGTTAAGAGCATTCCATGGAATATAACAAAAAGTGTATCTCGAGCCGGTTTCTCAAACTTACCTACCCCACCTTTAAATCTGGTTTAAAAAAAAGTGTTATAAGTAGTTAGGTACCAAATTATGTCTTGGCTAAGAGGCAAATTCAACTTTTCCTATGGTCTTGTTTTCAGTCAGGTTGCCAAGCTACCAGCTAAAATTTGAGAAAGTCGCTACTTCAAGATAAAAATAGTGTGGCATGTTACTCATTTAAAAGAGATAATTAAACTCAAGTTTATTGCTTGCTTCAGACGCCATGAAGGATGTTTTTTGTCACCCTCAGATGTAGCCAGGCTAGCTGTCCCACTGCTTTCACTCTTTTTGCAAAGCCAAGCTAAACTTCTGCTGGAAAAAGATAGGAGAGGGCTATGCATTAGCTTATTTCCCTCCTTCAGAAAAAAACTAAAAAATGAATGAGCGCATTTCCCAAAAATGTTGAACAAAGTCTTTAGCCAAAAGGAATGGGGTTTTTTCTGAGTCTTTGGCAATGTACATTCTTCTACAAAGTGATCCTTGTCAATCCAGGATCCAATTCAACTCATTTGGATTGGATTGGATTTATATGTGCATGTTTGACCTGCAGAGTAAGCACTCTGGCTAGATCAATCCTCATAATGGTGTGTCTGCACAGATGTTGCAAAAGTCAATTAGATGTAACAGGTGCACTATAGGCTGGAGACACAGCTATGTTGTGCATATGGACTGACAAATGGGTTGTCGCGTTAGGGAAGATACAGGAACGACTCCCACCCATTGTTGTCATGCAGAACACCAACATATGTTTGTAGAATATACTAAATATTTTATTTTGTTTTTCCTATGGATTGCATCTCTTGGGAAAGTCTATACTCCACTACAAATCTGCATGAATACATTGTGTAAAAATATAACTCCTGGATAAACTCCAACCAGCGAATATGTAACCTGCTCTTGAAACAGTGACTATGTGACATGCTTCACAGCCAAGCATGAATCCTGAACTTCAATAGCTGAGGCTTGCTCTTGGGCACAGCTGGGTGTGAGCTGTGCCCACATTTCTAAAGGAAGAACACATCTGGCAGGCAGTGGTGTTGCATGGTGCTTCGAGTTAACCGAGAGGATAAAAGAGTTTAATTCTAAAATGAGATACTGTAAGCATCATGTCTTAAAATACTTTGCCAACATGAAAGTAACTGTTGGGAACCCTCTACTTGCATGACATTTTAAGATAAGATGAGATAGAATCACTGACCACAGGCACTCTCTTTGGGGAATGAATAACACTGGCACACACATTGAAATACAGAGACCTTGATATTGTTATAAGATACAAACACACAAACAAGTGATATCCATAATGGTATGAATCAAAGGTAATGTCTAAAAAACAGAGGAAAGTATATAGAATACCATGGCTGACAGGTGCAAATGCGTGTTTTGTCAGTATATTTCAAATGACTAGGTTAGCTACGTTAGCTAGCTAGCTTAAAGGTGGGGTATGTAATTTTGGAGAAACCAGCTCGAGTGCGCTAGAATTTGAAATTACACAACCGGAAAAAATCTGCCACTTCCTTACAGAGCCCCTCCTCCAACACACACGAACGTGCACATGACCAATGAGGGCACGAGATAAGTTTGTGCACAGATGGAAGGCTGACAGGCAGGTAGGCCATCCAGTTATTTTAGCCGGGCCGGCTAAAATGATTGGTCGTGCTTTTTACAGTATTACAGCTTCCACAGATGACATTTTTGTATGGATTTTTTGTCAAAGCACTTAAGATATTCATTGCTATCGGGATGTTAAGAGCATTCCATGGAATATAACAAAAAGTGTATCTCGAGCCGGTTTCTCAAACTTACCTACCCCACCTTTAATCGTGTAATAGCATTGTTAAAATAAGCCATGAAACACTTACAATTATGAAACAGATTAACTTCGCAAAAAGTGACAGTTGGCCAACTCTATAATCCCCAAACATCAACAAGACCCTTTTAGTGTCCCCTTTTCCGTTGTGTATTGAGCGTATTGCAGCATTTTCTATTTGCAGCGTTTCGTTTATGCAGTAAACCTTGCATATATTTCGACAAGTTGGTGTTTCTTCATTTATAAGTGTTTTGGCACATTGGTGCTTTTATTTTTGTTTATGTTTTTGAAAGTAAAGTGCTTTTCTCCTAATGTAAGTGTTTGGGCTTTGCACCTGTCGACCACCGTAGCATAGCTTACCCATATTTATCCACAGAATAATTTTCTATAAACAGTAGTGACAACAAAAGCCAACCAAAGCCATGAAATCTGACTGAAAGTCACTACAACTCAACTGCAACCAATTGATCAGTTAAATTACACCTTTCACTATTTGTTTACATTGAGATCAATGTTAACGCCTCCATGGAAAATCTCTGTCACTCCACTGCAATAACATCCAACCAAAGTAACCTAAGCTATTGTGAACCTTTCAAATGAGCATGATTGCATTATTGAGGATGTCCCAAGTACTTTACATAGGGGCCTGTTTGTAGCTGGCGGACCTGGTGGCATTTTATCACTTGACATTATGTTAAGCTCAACTGGGATAATGATTTCCTATATGGGTCAAACAAGGTCAAAAACACTTAAAAACAACAAAATCCTGTAGCTATGAGCGGAGGTGAACAGGTTAGTTTGTAAGACACGCTTCTTTGATGTTGTAGCCAGGAGTGAACTCTTCTCTGAAGTCCTTCAAACACCACGGTGTTAACACCAGTGAGCCCAACTCCAGCAGAATAAAAAAGGAGCCTTATACACAGCCTACTCTTTCTATATTCCTCTGTAAGGGAATACATTGCTTGCAGTGCAGTCTTGTAATGCAAGCTCTTGATGTATGACAGCATATGAATACAGTGCCTCTGCAAAATGCCACAAGGACTGCATGTGAGGACGAGCTACAGTAGATCATAGGGGAAAATGTTGCAACCATTTGGAGCATAGAGGCTGGCTTCCTTTAAATTGCACTAACACATCCCCACACACAAGACGATCATGTAAAATACTAATAATTCTTAACGATGCACACACTTTATTCAAAATCTCAATTCGCTCTCGTGAGAAATGATCAATGAGGTGTTTTCATCCTTTTATGTCCAAACGCGTCAACACAGAGAGAAGACACTGATGCCACCGCTGTGCGGAACAGAGCGTTACTGTGCACCGAGAGCAGAATTTCGCACTAAAAAAAAAACACGCACTTTAATGTTTTCCAAGGCAACAACTTTAATATCTGTTGAGCCCAGGCGCTATCCGATGTGCAAACGCGACGGTGACCATGAACACCGAGCGGTGCGCTTCGGCGTGGTTTGTGCGGGGATCAGAAGTGGGTGCTATACTGGTCGTGATAGTCAATGCAGATGAATTAAGACTTAATACATAACCAGGCCTCCTGCTAACCCCCTTCTTGCATTTTTGCTTTGAACACACGCATTGTGCAGCCCGGACTGAATACGACCATTATTCATTGATTTCTCTCCTCCACGACTTGGTTGGCACGGAGGGGGAAAGTTGGCATGAGGCGATTGTGGCACCGATCGCCTCCATCCGGCTGTCCTGTCAATGGCCAGTTAGTATTACACTGATACGAATCTCGGAACTCATTGACAGTTATTGCAAGACCCCACGCACGGATCTGCGCAAGAGGTTCCGATATGTGTGAAAATGATATGACAGGGTCACACTTACCGACGGCTAAATCCAGCAGATCCGCGCACAAGAGCAAGCACAGCGAGAAGACGGTCATCTTTCCCTTATTTTGCAATAAATCCCAAACTCCATTTGCGTTTACATGCTCTCCGGGTCTCGGCTGTGTAATCCCCACCATTCCAGAGGTATGCGATTGAAAGGTGCTCCCAAACTATTCATGATGCAGCTCAAGTCTTAAGTGGAGAAATCGGAGAAGTTGACAATGAAGACAGCATTCAGAGCGGTGGAAATCGAGCATCAGATTTAAAAAGAAATAAAATGACTCACTGGATGAGACTATAGAACAAGCCGAGTGTTATTTGTCCCTCCCTGTTTAAACAATAGGGTGCTGAGCTGAGCCGCACAGCAGATAGGCTCTGGAAAAAAGGAGGTTTGGCTGAAAATGTGTTCCTCAGTCACCTCGCTCCCTCTCTTTCTCCTCTCTCTCTCTCTCTCTCCCTCTCTCCTCCCGCCCTTCACACAGACGCACAGTCATTCCTGATCACTCGCTCTTTTATTTCACACAATTTTCCTTAATCCTACCCTGAATTCAGACCACTCTAATTCTGTCCATTAAGCCGATTTATTTCTGGTGGTTTTTTATTCCTTGTAAAAAAAGGGTTTTAAAGATCCTTATCCTCCGGTGTAGCCCACTATATAGCCTACACAACATTAAGAATACATAAATGGAGCAGCATGCAAACCATGTTTAATGGACAATCAATTATGTTTTAAGGAGAAAATATTGAATGCTTTTGTTACCTTATTGTGTGCACCCAGCAAAAAGAGATAAACTCTATTCTGCAAAGAAAAGGGTGCTTTTACTTATTCTAGACAAAGTGTTAGTAAGCATATATTGTATACTATATTTAGTACATATTATTAAGATTAAAATAGCCTATCATGGTGTACTTCACATATATTAATTTCTCTCAATCAAACAATCAAAATACTTAATTAATCCAAGGGAGAAATTAGGTTTTGTGACAGTTGCAACATATTAAAATAACATAAATAAGTATTGCAGTATTTTCCCTGTAATGTATTGATTGAGTTTTTATGTATTGCCTCACACTTCATTGTGTTGCATTACAGTTAGCAAGACTTGTTTTTGTACATCATACTGTGGCTGACAGGTGCAAACGGGCTTCAACGGCCCAACACACTTCTATTAGCAAAAACACGCTGCTGCTTTAGAAACAATACAAATATAAAAACACAAATGTGCCAAAACACATGCAAATGAAGAAACATATTTTGTTTATGCAGCGCTTTCAGTAAACAATGTGCATGTTTTGTCAAGTTGGTGAAGATGTTTCTTCATTTGCATGTGTGTTGGCAACTGGAGCTCATTTATGCTGATGAAATGTTTTGGGCCATTGTAACCTGTTGACCGCCTTAATTAGTGCTCAAGAACCAAACTACTTTAACTGTAGTAAATAAACACATTAAATGAATGCCGTTGGAACAACACTAAAACTCATAAAGATGTATTTGAACTGTATGAGTAGAGGTGTAATGGACCTGAAGGAGGAAGGTTAAAGTCACTCTTCTGCTTCAAATTGGCTGCAGTCATTTGTCTCATTAAGAATCATCCATAATGCAGGCGGGCAGGCAACTGTGGATTCAAGTGTCGGGGAAGATTTCGTACAAGACGAAGTGAGCATTTATTTGGCAGAGTGATACGTTCCTAACAGTACGAATGCCTGCAGCCCAACTTTTAATTGTTTATATTGTAATGTCACTCAAATCAAAAGCCTTTTAGTAAATGTCACATGCATTAAAATGATGCCACACGTAAAAACTATTCTTGAATGACATTTTTTAGAAATTATTATTAGCATATCCCTGCTGTCACAAAGATGAACCAGTTTTACATAATTTGAATCAATCAATCAATGTTTATTTATATAGCCCAATATCACAAATGTTACATTTGTCTCAGTGGACTTCACAGTTTGTACAGAATATCAATATGACAATACGACACCCTCTGTCCTTGGACCCTCACATCGTACAAGGAAAAACTTCCAGAGAAACCCCACAGTTTAAAGGGGAAAATGGGAGAAACCTCAGGGAGAGCAACAGAGGAGGGATCCCTCTCCCAGGACGGACAGACGTGCAATAGATGCCGTGTGTAAATCGAAGAGATAATACATTTTACAGCTTAGGTAGACCAAATGTTTGGAAATGCATGTGTCTATAATAAGAAGATGAATCCAGGAGGATGTCAACAATCCTGTGGGAGCCATCAGGGAAGCAGCATGACGAGACCCAGGCAGGACCACAGTGACAGGTTCAGCCACGACTCGAAGTCCAGGACTCAAATCCAGAACTCAGGATAGAGGATCCAGGACACAGGACCGCAGCAGCAGGATCAGCCACGACTCAGGATCCCGGCGTAGATAGACACCAAACATTTTTTTCGGGGAAGCTGGGTTATTCGGAACATGAGAGTACACAGGTACAGACAGACAGAAGGAAGAAGTAAGGTGTCCCCCGACAGTCTAAGCCTATTGCAGCTAAACTAACGTGTCTACGTACATGCACTCCCTTAGGATAGGTTGAGGGAAAGGGGTAGCAAGTAAGAAGTAAGGAACAGAGATGGAGAGGCACAACGTGTCTACGTACATGCACTCCCTTAGGATAGGTTGAGGGAAAAGGGTAGTAGGTAAGAATCATCTGTAAACTCAAATAAAATCAGTTAAATGTCTTGTTTCTATCCAAAATAATGACAAGTGTTAAAGAATGATGGGGCCATAACTGTCTCCCAACTTTGTCAGGTGCCTCAGGTGATGCCATTCTAACCAACATCACCTTGGTAAGGTTAGCCCTGGTTTGCTACTTATTTTTGCTCTGAAAAGATGTTCGCAGTCCTATATGCCTTTTGTGAAATCGTCCTCGGGGTTCTCTTTCAAAGTTATACGTTATTCAGGAAGACAGCCACAAGCATGCCGAATCCATCCCCCCCGAATATATGAATTCAGTTGAATAAAGCCATTGGTTTCCTATTTTCAGCAAGCCGACTCAATACATCAAGGTTGTAAACTCGTATTGATTCGAGCAGCACTGACCCAGTACACATAATGAGACGTGCAAAAACACAAACAGAAACAATGAAAGGGTGTCTCAAATATATAAATTCTTAAAAACATGTATATTCACACTGTGCTCTCCGCTCGATAGATATGACGCTCTACTCCTGGTTAAGGTCAGCAGCACCGATGCACTATCACACATCTCTAGAGGGCAGTGTCAACAACACTTTATTGGGGACGTAGCTGAACGTGCTGCTGTCCATATGGCTTCTAACCCACTAACAAAAAGGGGTCTTGGTCCTGTGAGAGAGCTCCAGGCTACTGTTTTCAAATCAATAAGCCTTAAACTGTTTCTTTTTTAGATTTGTATTTTGAATGTGAGGAATTCAGAGGAGAAGGAAACCTGACACGCAGACAGAGCCAACTCCATCAGGAGGCTGGTTCTGTCTCCTCTCTTTCTTCTTGTTTTTCCAGTATTTATTTACTTGTTCCTTAAGATTACTTTGTTGCGATGTCCGTTTCACTATTTGTGTCAGTATATTAAGTCTTGCCGACTGCCACTGGGCTCACTGAGACACATGGCGATCAGTCACCTGCCCGTGGCTACTTGGTGGACACAGTTATTTCGTAATTGTATATTAGCAAGCACATTTGTTTGTGTAGAAGCAGCCTGTCTAATTGCATGTTTTTTATGGAAATAGAGTTCATATTCCATTCAACAAGCCAAAAGAAACACTCGTCTACTAAATGCAGAGGTCGGAACACAGCTGGCTACATCTGACTTGATAACATGGTCTTATGCATGTGACTAAGGAGCCCTTTAAGACCAATCTGGGATCACTTAAACAATTCTATATGCATAATTAAATACACATTTGAACTAAAGCAGCCACATTATTTCACGTGAATCTTTTTGTCCATGTATTTCAGTTAACTCTTGTGTTTTGAGGATGAAGGAAATCATAATTCCTCAATGGGAAAATAATGTCCTGCATTTGGGAGATCTGGTCAGATATAGCTAAGCTGTAACATCTTAGAAATGTCATCCAGCTTTTAGCAGTTTCCTCAGCAGGAATTACTTCTATGGTTAATATAAGGAGCTAGTAAGTTAGTAAATAAAGATATATCACATTTTTATCCTGAATGATCTACTTTGATTAATGACTTAAGCCCTGTTATTTCCCATTCCTGTAGTGTGTTATATAGGTTTGTGTGCATGTAAACGCCTCGATTGGACTCCTTTGTTATCTTCCTCAATATAGTGACATCACTATGTAACACTCACGCTTCAATTGGCTAGAGCTCCAGCATATTGTACGTGATAGGCTAAGGGGCAGGAGATGACTTAGCAGTAGACCAATCACAACAGAACTGGTCAACTATAACCAATCAGAGCAGAATTGCCTGGTTTCAGACAGAGGGTGAAAAGAGGAGCTGCAGAACAGACACCTTTTAGTAGAACTTTTTGAATGTTAAAGCATGTAAACATGTCACAGTAGAGGCAAAAAATACAAAAAGTCCTAACCAACATTACAATTTGTGTCTCCTTCACAACTAAAAATCAACTTGTAATGACAATAAATTGTGAAAGGCAACAAAAGTCAACAAATAGAGCCATTTTGCATCAATGCGTAAGCTGCTTTCAAAATAACCCCCCTGCCGACCGCCTACCTGCAAAGCATTCCCCAAAATGGCAGGCGTTTACCTCCAGAAATCTATGTGTGTTCACATGGAGGGCAACCTCCTAATACCTTTACCACATGATCAAAACCACTTCCGCTCATTGAAAGGACTAGAGTTACTGAGCGGGGATGTGCAAGCAGCTTTACAGTCTTTATATGCTTCAATAGTTTTTGTTTCATCCACTTGTTAAATGTTCATTGAATTTTTGATCTTAGATAGAGGTTACATTTCACATTAAGTTATTGTGGTAACGTTAATGAAAACAGACAACAAAAGTGCTCTGATAATGGCCCTCTAAGGATGAAATAACTATTGGCAAAATAGTATTACCTGAAGCTATTGCACTACACTGCAACATTCAAGCGCAACTATGATGAAAACACTGCATACAGTATTTGTCCCTAGGCTGTGTGCTGTGATTTACACATAAAAGGTGGATATGCAACTCTCATTTATTTCTGACAAAGATCTGTCAAAGAATTGTGAAATTGGGTTTCCTTTTTTCAGTTTTTAAAAGGGCAAGTTGTCCAAACCAAACTTTGCACTGAGGATAGAACATCCTATGAGTGTATGTTAGACTGTATCCTTTGATTGTTGGCAGTCCTGACTGTCAGCACATCAACGATCGAGAGCACCACATAGACAGATCTTGCTT